CTCCTCTCACTCTGTCTTCTGTGATGGCCCAAATACTCCTGGCTCGCTCTGCTCCCCCAGGATCTCTCCCTCCCTCCCCACCAGACCCCTTAGATGATGCAGTTCATGTCTTTACAGCTGCTCCCCTGCGTCTCTCATACCAAACCCCGCAGCCTTCTCAGCCTTCTCTGTGCCCCCTGCGCCATCCTCTCCCCATTCTTCATCCCCAGTGGCCTCTAATTCTTCCCTTAGTGTCTCTCCCCAGTCTCCATCTTCTCAATCCCCTCCACGTGAGCCATCTATTCCAACTGGACAGTCCTTGGTCCCCTTCCCCTGTGTTGGCATTTTCCCCTCTGGTCTCATGCTTGGTTTTCAGCAGCCATCTTGCTGCGGCTCACATGCAGGATAGCCGCCACAGTCACAAGACATCTGGTTTTTATCTTAGGTAGGAGCGCAGCTTTAAGTCTAACGGAGACAAAGGCAAAGAATCAAGTGTGCAGGAGTCAAATAATAGAATCAACAGGGTACTTATGATTATAACTTTATTAATGGCTTCCCATGAATTAATAGAGATCTCTTGAAATAAGAATACAGGGGCTGGAGATTTAGCTCAGCGGCATAAGCACCTGCCTTGCAAGCAGGCGGTCATGAGTTCCATCCCCAGTACTGATAAAAATGAAAAAGACAAAAAAAAAAAAGAAATAAAAATACAGAATAGGAACCTAATTTATGGCTAATCTCAGACAGGTCAGAGAGTATAAAAGGAACATGAATAGCTAATCCCTCAGTGCCAGCCTGTTCCTGAAGTGGGAGTAGAGACTGAGGCTGAGAAGGCTGTGGTCACTGAGCGGCCAACCATCTGGCAGACGTGTGTGGGCAATTTCCTTGCATTCCTCAATATCCCATAGCTCCCAAACATTTACAGATACTTAAACCTGGTAATTAAGCACCTTTTTGACAATTGTTTTCTTAAATGTACACATTCAGCTCATAATATTCCCATTCTCCCAGTATTTAAGCCTGATGGGTCTTATCATCTAGGGCAGGACCTTGGGGTAATCAATAATGTCATTACCCCAGTCCACCCAGTGGTGCCACATCCTTATACCATCCTTTCTCATATGCCTCCCTCCCTCCACCACTCAGTTTACATCGTTCTTTAAAATGCCTTTGTTATTCCTTTGTGTTTATGCAGACTGACCCAGACACGCTGAGATCTCAACAACTTACACCTGTCATCTCTATAGTAAAACCTCTCCTCGGGGACACACAGCACCCTCTTCCTTTCCTATTCATCAATTTTGTGGACACACTCCTGGTCAGGACTGGCAGTTAGATTTTCTACACATGCCCTGCCACAAAACTCTCAAATATCTTCTCACCTTTGTTTATACTTTTTCAGGATGGATAAAAGCCTTTCCCACAATCAGGGAGACTGCTGATGTACTTCCTAAAGTCCTGTTACAGGAAATCATCCCAAGGACTACAACTAAGTTGGAGCGGCCCCTGCCTGGTCTTCTTGTCAACCCCAACAGTGGTCAAAGTTGCTGGGCTGCCATCCTGGTTCCACATCACTCAAGCAGTGGCCTCCCATCCCTGAATCTAACACCCTGAGTGGCCATCTCAACTTCTATCTCCCACCCGTCTCTGTCTCACCCAGACCTCACAGCCACAACTCTCAGGCTAAGTCATGTTTTGTTATCCAGTTTGGTTCCTAATTCCTTATATTCTATTAATTAATTATTTTTTACACTAGGAGTCTTGACAGTAGTTCCTAAAGACTCCTGCGTCATGTGTAAGGTCATCTTCATGTTGTTCTATGTGACAACTGTCTTAGTTTTCTCTACCCTCAGCTGTTTAGTCAACTGTGAGATCCCTATAGGCCTGGGCTCTTGTCTCCCTTATAGTGACACAGCCATGGCCCTCCTCTCCTCTACTCTGTAATTTCCCAAATATGATTCAATCAGGCCTTGTATTTCTCATGCTTCTTATTCTTTCCAGCTCAACTCCTGGACCAAAGACAAGCCCTACCTACCTACACTTTTAACTTTTACCCTTTCAGATGGGGGATAATCACCTCTCCTAACTTCACTCCTCCTAACCCCACACTTATTTTTTGTTTTGTTTTTTTTGTCTTTTTCCTTTTTAGCGGTACTGGGGATTGAACTCATGACTGCCTGCTTGCAAGGCAGGCGCTTATGCCGCTGAGCTAAATCCCCAGCCCCCCGACACTTATTTTTCAGAATTCTGCCTCACTGTGGTCCTGATGGAATGGCATATTTAAATCAAAGACACCTTTCCTTTTACCTCACCTGGATCCTTAAATATGACAGTGGCCTGCCTCCTCGTCACACCTTGTCTCTTTGTTTTTTCAGTCTAAGATGTGGGCATTCACCAATGATGAAGTTGTCCTGGCTGAAACACCTGTTAACCAGCTTCTGCATGGGCATCAACCATTGTCCCTAACCATCATCAACCTTCCTAAAACCCAATACGGCGCCCCCTTTCAGTAGAAAGTAGCAAGACAGAGACTTTGCCGTTTTCCTAACAATAAAATGACTGGAATGAAAGGTTCTTACCCTACAATAAATAACTGTACAGTTACGGTGGTGGTCTAATATGGTGGAAGGCCAAAGCAGGAATGCTTACCACTTCCTGCTTCTTCCCAAGCCTTAATTGCAAATCCCTTTCCTGTTTGTGTGCACAGAAAATTCCAATCAGCTCCTGTGCGTCGTCAATGCCCGCCCTAAGCATTACCCCCGTCAGAGGTTATATGTATATTGTATTCCCCACGTTCTGGCAGAGAACACCAGGCCACTGCTGTTCATGGGGTTCTCTCCATGTCCCTTGAATAAAGGTTACTTTTACTTGATAGTCTCTCTTTCAGTACCAATAACTCTCAACACTCAAATGTTCACTATTCAAGAATGCAGGTCTTTTGCAGGAGAAGAAATAAATGCCATCTTTTTTTTTAAAATTTCTTGTTATTTTTTGAGAGAGCATCTCACTATGTCATCTAGGCTGGCCTCGAATTTGCAGGGATCAGCCTGCCACGCATGTGCTGAGATTACAGGTGTGTGCCACCACACCCAGCTAAACAGTGTCCTTTTTTTCTTTCCTAGAAGTATAATTAGTTGAAAGATACATACAGGATTCAGCAGATGGAGATAAAAATGCTGTGTCCATTATTAAGAATGCTGCTTAGAGAACACAACTCTAAACCTACTGTGGGTTGGATTTACTAATAATTTACTAATATGCTCTTTAGGCATCTACAGGCCTGGACAGAGAAGATGGGAATTCAAGAGGGCAAAAAGCAGGCTGAAAAAAAACAAAGCAGTTGGGTATGGTGGCATACTCCACTGTGACCCCAGTACTTGGAAGGTCAGGTAGACAGGATCCCTGCTAGTTTGAGGACAGCCTACGCTATACAACAAATTCGAGGCCAGCCTCAACTATCCATAGAGACCATCTCAAAAAAAGAAAAATTAAAGTCTTCCCCCAAAATTCAGGTTTCTGGGACTCTGAAAGAAACAACCTGGTTTAGTCAACAAATAAGTCAAGGAGAAAAGGTTGGAGTGGGAAGGAGAGAAATGAAGGAGGAATTTATTCATTAAAAAGACAAAGTATCTGAAATATGTGGATCTAATTTGGATCCTGAGTCAAACAAGCAAACTAAAGGGAAACTGTGATCTTTATGAATCAAATGAGAAGTTATGTGTTGACTGGATATTTTAAAATGCTGAGTAATCATTGCCAATTTTTAAGAAGCACATAGTGTAGTTATAATAAAAGAAAGCAATCCTTATTTTTAAGCATTTTTACTGAGATATTTGTAGACGAAATTATATGCTTTAAAATAATATAGAAGAAAATTCATGTTAAAAGTACGGATGAAACAAAACTGGCCATTAGTTAATAATTATTGAATTTGAATGAGGAGCACCTGCTGGCTTATTATAGTTTTTGAGGGTTGGGGCAGGTATTGGGAACTGAACTCAGGGCCTTGAGCTTGCCAGGCAGGTGGTATGCCACTGAGCTACATCCTTGGCCCTGGCTTATTATACTATTCCATTTATTTTGTGATACTGAGGCTAGAACCAAGAAGTATTCTACCACTGAGCTACACCTGGTCCTTTTAATTTTTTTTTTTTTGGTATTGGGATTTGAACTCACGACCATTTGCTTGCCAGGCAGGCTCTTATGCAATAGAGCTAAATCCCTAGCTGCTCCTTTTCATTTTTTGAGACAAATCTCACTATGTCACCCTGGCTGGCCTAGAACTTGTGATCCTCCTCAGCCTCCCAAGTACCTTTCTTTTTATGTTTGAATTTTTCAATAAAGTTTTAAAAATATTAGAATCACAGAGACATATAAATTATATCTATAGCGATGTATCTTTAAATTTCTCCCAACCTCTACTACCAAACATGTACAATATCTACAGACTTGCCTCATTCATCTCCACTTGGATATCTCAGAAGAACCCCCAACTTCAATGGCCCCCAAACAGAAGTATTCATTTTCACCTGTCTCAAAACTCCAAATCTGCCGGTTGTCCCCGATTCGTGCATGGCTCCATCAGTCTACTTGAGGGCACCTGCAGCGTCTTCCTTTCTCTCCACCCAGGGGCATAGGAGGTTCTATAGCTCCCCACTTCAAATGTCAGAGGGCTCCCACCTCTCAGGAATGCCTCCTTCCCCAGGGAAACCCCAGTTCATCCACCAAGGAATAATCCAGGATGTTTCTGAATATTAATATAAACTTTTATTTATTTATTTGTCTTTTTTTTTTTTTTTTTTTTTTTTTTGAGACGGGGTCTCGCTATCCAGCTATGCAGTGCAGGCTGGCCTTGCGCTCGTTTTGTAGCCCAGGCTGGTTTTGAACTTGCAACTGTCGCCCAGCCTCAGCCTCCCACGTGGTGGGATTACAGGAGTGTGCCATCACGCCCGGCTATTCTTAAAATTTTTTTAAAGTTTTTCTGGGTGCTGTCGGCGGCGATGGGACCAAGCGACTATAACCACAGTGGGAGACCGCAGCGCCCTTGCCCGTGGACTTTCCCTGCCTGCTGCTTCCCCGCGAAGACTACGATTCCCAGGGTGCCTCGCGGGCCAGAAGGGCGCGCGGGAAGGTGCCTCGCAGGACCCGGATGCGGGCAAGATGGCAGCCTAGTGGTGAGTAGCTGTCAGGATAACCGCTGACCTCTTTATTGTATGATATGGAGGAGTCCCTAGGAACCCGGCAGGCCCAGCGGCTTAACCGCAGTTGGTGAAGTCTTCCGCCAGTCGTTAGCTCAGGGCAGCGCTGCTGGCACAGCCAGGTTCCTTCCGTGCTGCCGAAGGGCCGGCCTGTGGTCGCGCATCATCATGCCCAGGAGGGTGTCCCGCTGAGTTGCCTGGCCTTGTGGCTCTCGGGACCATTCCAGGTTGAAGTTTTTAGACCCCGTCTCTGTGTACTAGATCTGTGTGCTCCTGGGAACCTGTTGCTAAAACTTCAGACCCTCTGAGGCTCTCTGTGCATTTTTCCTTGGTATTTGAATTGGGAGCCAGGGGATTTGCCCCAGGGATAAAAATTTTGGCCCTGGACTGGGTGTGCTGGCCTAGGGAACCTGCTGTCTACCAGAATGTTTTGTAATTGGGTTCGTGGTTACAAGACGTAGGTTTGGGTCTTGCACATCCTATCTGATAAGCAATGGAATGGTGAGCAAGTAAATCATTTGACCACTGTAAGCCTGTGCATGTCCTCTGAAAGACAAAAATATCTGCTTCCCAGACTTAATGAAATAGCACATCATGTATTTGAAAGAGTGCCGTCAACTGTAAATAACATACTACTAGGAACTCTGGGGCAGCTTTGCTAAGGTACTGACAAATATCAGGAATGAGCATGAATACCCTCGCGTATAAAAGGACCTGTGTCCAGGTTCCCTTTCATTACTATCCGGTCAGGGGAAAGCCATGAATAGTCATTGAGGCCACTTAAAAAGAAGGTAGAGTAGTTATATGTCATTTATTCTCAATAACAAATAGAGGTTGTGCTTGTTTTTCTCATTTTACCTTTAAAGAAATGGAGCGTTATTTAATGATTTGCCCACCAGTTTGTAAGTGACCAACTCTAATGTCTTTGGAAGCAAGTCCTTTAAATTCTGAACTTTCGGTTTTTTTTATGATTCGAAATAAAGAGTACATTGTGTGGATTTAATATGAAAGTATAATGAAATAATGACTAAAGCAACTTGGAAACTTTAAAACTTTAGACGCATATAAGATGGTGAAATTCATGTATCCCTCTAAAAAATATTTAATAGGTCAAAAACAAGCCTTCTTGGGGCTGGAGGTTTAGCTTAGTGGCACAAGCACCTGCCTGGCAAGTGCAGGGTCATGGGTTCGATCCTTGGTACCAAAAAAAGAAAATCAGGACGAATAGGCCTTCTTGTTTAATATTTCATTTAGTCAAAAACAATATTACTAAAAAACAGGTATTACTGTTAAGTGATGTGATAAGATCTTGTGTCTACTGGGAAATTGTACACAGACCATTAGCATTAGAGGGCAGTTGCTTTGTGTACCATGTGTGACTGATTGTTTCTAAGATTAATTGCTAATTTTTTTCTTTTTGTCTTTCTCGTTTTTATTGGTACCAGGGATTGAACTCACGACTGCCTGCTTGCAAGGCAGGCGCTTATGCCTCTGAGCTAAATCCCCAGCCCCTCTAAGATTAATTCCATATTTACTGATTAATTCCATTACTTACTGAGTAGTAAGTGGAAAAATGCATTGGCTACTGAATCATTTGCATGAACATAGTTCTGGGATTTTTCATCTTTTGATGCTCTTGCTCTTTGGCCTATTAAATTTTGTGGAAATTTGTGGCTTTTAAAAGCTTTGCTTTAGGTGACTGTAGTGTTAGGTAATAATTTCTCTCTTAGTCTCCTGATATTTAAATTTACCATAATGAGTGCTGATTTTTCTTTATTTCTTAAGCAGGAATGAAAATTGGTGCCTAGAAGCAGATTTTAAAGGCAGTTTCTTCCCCATGTTTTTTCACACCACCTGATAAGCTTCTTGATATATTATGGCGGCGGCAGCAGTAGCAGTGAAATGGGCCATATCAAAGAGCGCTCTCTTGAAACATTTATTTCCAATCCAAAGTAAGTGAGGTTATTTTTAATGTTTGAAAAGAGTTTTAAACATTTTCAGATATTACAGAACAATCAATGTATTTAGCCTGAGGGTGTAGTTCAGTGGTAGAGCATTTGTCTAGCTTGTACAAGGACCTAAATTCAGTGCCTAGTACCATAAAAACAAACAAACAAAATCCAAACAAAAATATAAAGCATTTAAAAATATATATAAAGCATTTAGTTAATTGCATATGCCTTTTAAATTGGGGTGTAGATAAATTATGCTACATCTTAACTAAATATTTTACCAACACAGAAATATCAATAAAGGTATGAAAGGAAGTATTCAGAAAATAGTATCTAATCATATATTTTGTTTTTGTGTTAAAAAATGATCTGCTATGGGTATTGCGGACTGCATAAATCAAGAGTAAAAGATGTGGACTAAAAACTGGTTATGTGTGTAAGTTACAAGTGGAATTTAGGTGAGGGACTGGAAGATGGTAACTTTTATTTGAAACATCTATACATAGTGTACTTATAGTTTTGTTGTTGTTGTTTTTCTTTAGTACTGGGAATTGAACCCAAGTCCTTTGAATTGATGTATATATACAGCCCTTTCTTCTTTTCTTTTTCTTTCTTTCTTTCTTTTTTATTTTTTTGAAACAAGTTCTAACTAAGTTGCTGAGTTCCCTATTCTGACCTCAAACTTGTGATCCTCTTGCCTCAGCCTCCCAGAGTGTGTCACTATGCCTGGGCACTTACTACTTTTTACTACTTAAAATTTGCAAATAAAGGGTAAATTCACAGTCCTATCTTCCAGAGATGATCATTAGCAATACTTTGATTTTTTTTTTTTTTTTTTTTTTTTGGTGTTGGGGATTGAACTCACAACCTAATGCTTGCCAGGCAGGTGCTTGTGCCGCTGAACTAAATCCCCGGCCCAATATTTTGATATATTTTTGTTACATTTTATTTTCTACGTATTTATTTAAAGAAATGTAATTCTAATGAACTGTCTTTTTTCTTGCAAGCTTATTAATATGTTTGATGAGCAAACAGTGGTCCCATATAAGTAACCAATCAGCTATGTTCATTTTTCTTTTCCTGCTATAAAATCCATTCTTTTTTTCTTGTTATTTGTTTTGGAGACAGGGCTTACTGTGTAGTTCAGGCTGGCCTTGAACTTACTACGTAGCCAGGCTGGCCTTAAACTCTTACAATCCTACTCAGCTTTCCAAGTGCCGGGATTACGGGTGTGCACCACCCTGCCTTGTGTTCTGTTTCTAACATAGACGTGGTAATAAAGCAGTAGGTTTGTTTTTTGCATAGTTATGTTAAACTACTTTTTTATATATTTCTGCCTGACTTTGATTTCTTTCTTCATGTTTCCTACTTATTTGTAATTGAAAGTTTGTTTATTGAGTTAGGAGGAAAAGAGTTGTTTGAAAACTAGGACAAAAAAGAAATAATTATGTTATTTGGGAGCACTTGAGGTAAAGAAAACTGTTTTGTCCACTAAATACTTCTTATCAATAGAGCGTTGAAGAGTTTGCAAAATCATCCTCTATAGCAAGCCTTCCATCCCTGCCCCTGCCCGCCCACTTCCCCCTCCCTCCTTTTCAGGCTCTGAGCTTTCAACATATAGGCATTTAGAGTTTTTTTTTTTTTCTTTTTGAGACAGTTATGTAGTTCAGGCTGACCTTGAACTTGGTATGTCACCCAAGCTGGCCTCAAACTCATGAAGTCCCCCTCCCAAATGCTGGACTCACAGGCGTGCACCACCATGCACAGCACAGCCTAGAATTTACTTTTAAGTCTCATGAGCTACCTCTAAATTTTTTTCCTTTATGTTTAAAAGGGCATACATTTTTAAAAAAACATAAATGGACCTTTTGCAAACATTTAAAGTAATTATGACTCTTTTAATTAATTTATTTATTTTTGAGACAGAGTTTTGCTATGTATTCTAGTCTGGACTTGATCGGATGGTGATCTTCCTGCCTCAGCCTCCAGAATGCAGAGATTACAGGCAGGTGGCATACGCCCAGCCTTGTAAGCATTTTTTAAAAGGAAAGTATAGACCTTGCATAGTGATGCATTCCTGTAATTCCAGTACTTGGGACGCTGAAACAGGCAAATCTCCGTGAGTTCAAGGCCAGCCTGGCCTATATAGTAAGTTGGTGGTCACCCTGCACTACAAAGTTAGACCCAGTCTCAAAAAAAAAGAAGTTAGCTCTGTGTTTTATCACTTAATACTCTTTATAAATCATGTGCTTTAGAATGTCCAAGTACATCCAGTGTTGTTTCTTGGAAAGCTCGGAATACCTCAATACAATGGTACCTCAATTCACGAATTTAATTCTCTCTACAGTTCTTGTCACAAATTGAATTGGACAAGAACCAAATCAAATTCCCATGTTTAGGTTCCGTGTTGATCTTAGGGGGAATTTGATTTGGTTCTTGTCCAATTCTGTTTGCCAGCAGATGCCGTACTTTCTTTTTGGATCTGGTTGAGCAGATGCCGTACTTTGTTTGAGAAGCTGCTTCTACCTGTAGTTTCCCCCAGGAACACTGAACTCACCCTCACTGAGCGCAGGCCACCTGCCTCCCTCCGTGGAGCACCGGGGCACGGTGCACCGCTGGGCAGGCCGGGCCTTTCTCGGTGCGCGGAGCTCAGCGCGTGCCTCCCCATCCTAAGCAGGTGCACCCCTGTGTTGGCTGACTTCTTGGGGTTCCTTTTGAAGGCAGGACTCTCAGTCTTATATGCTGTGGAATCCCTGGCACCTAGTCGACACCTCTTTCATAGAAAACAGTACATGGTGGTTAAATGAGTAAACTAGCTTTAGTTGGTAAGAGAGTAGATGCTCAGATTCACCCGTCCGTTTTGCTGCTTGGGGTTTTACAGATGGAGCTTTACCTCATGTTTGCTGTAAGTCTACGTATTCTTCTCTTCCAGATGACTATAATTGGTATGTATTAAAATTCAGTGGGACAAGTTATTAATAGTCTTAGCTGTGTCTGAAATGATTTTTCTTTTCTGCTTAGTTTTCTGACTAGTCTTTCTGTAATTTTGTTTTTAAAAATGATTTCAATAGTCTTATTTTTACTCAGTGTTTGGATTATAAATGTTTTAAATAAAAATCATTTTTATTGTATTTCAGTGAATGTTTAATTTGTTGTAAAAATGGCATACTTTTAGACATGCTATCTTTTCTTGAAGCATGCTTTAGCTTTTTGGAAAAGTTAATTAGTTTTCATAGTTTTCTGTTAGGGTGCATATCTATTAGTTTAAGTAGTTATCTTTTGTTTGATACTGAATAATTCTAAATTATAAATATTTAGTTCAACACCATTTATTTGATACTTATTCAATTCAAGTCACTATGCTGGAAATTGGGAAAACTTTTTTCTCTACAGGAAACTGATGTACAGAAATTAGAATGTTTATTTAAGTTGTTGGATTTTTATTGCAAATTTTAGTATACATGCTACCAAAGCATGTACTTTTATTGCAAGTTTTAGAAAAAATATGTTTTCTTTTGACATTAATTTTGTGGTGTTTTTGTTTTTTGTTTGCTTTTTGAGATAGGGCCTCTCTATGAGGTTCAGATAGTCTAAGCGAGCCTCAGAACTTGTAGCAACCTTTCTGCCTCAGCCTCCCAAGTACTGAGAGTATAGGCTGCGCCACCCTGCCTGGCTCCACTTTAGTTTTAGTTGTACATTTAATGTATACTAAGATTGCTAGTAATGAAATTGGACTAGGTAACTTATTTTGTTTTGTTTTTTGAGACAGTATCTCACCATGTAGTGAGGCTGGTCTTCATCTCATTAAGTAGCTCAGGCTGGCCTTGAACTCACAGAGATCCTCCTGCCCCAGTTTCCCAAGTGCTAGGATCACAGGTGTGTGTTACCACACCTGGCTGGACTAGTGATTTTATTTTTTAATTGTTAAAAATAATCACCTGTGTTTATAGAGGGCATACTGTGCTCCACACACTGGTCTAAGTAAATGTATTTTTTCTTTTCTTTTTTTAAAAATCCATTTCATGTCAAAGAGAAGAAAACAAAATTTCAGAACCCATCAGTCAGGGCAGCGTACACACACCCTGCGCATTGTCATCCCCAAACCATTCACCCAGATGTATCTGCATTCAGTTTGGACTAGGTAATTTTTTAAACTCGAAAAGTTGAGTTATGTAATTGTTTTGCATTATGTAAAACATCATCAAAAACCAGTTGATAGTTAAAAGTTGTAGTCATGTTGCATAATCCTAGCACTCTGGGAGGCTAGAGCACCCTGTCTCCCAACAAGATCTTTAAAAAGGACTAGGGCTAGAGCTGAGTTGATTGGCACTAGGTTCAAGCCCTATTGACACGACCAAACAAAAATTGATGTCATCATGACAGTGAATCAGTCCTTTCATTTCTTCTCTTTCATTCCTCCCTTTTCCTCTTCCTTTTCCTTTCCTTTCTTTCTCCCTCCTTCCCTCCTTTTTTCTGTTTCTCCTTCCTTCCTTCTTTCCTTCCTTCCTCCCTCCCTTCCTTCCTCCCTTCTTTCCTTCCTTCCTTCCTTCCTTCCTTCCTTCCTTCCTTCCTTCCTCCCAACCCAGGAGCACTGTGCCACTGAGCTAGATCCCCAGCCCTTTTTATATTTATTTTGAGACAGGGTCTCACTGAGTTGTGGTGGCTGGGCTCTACCTTGTTGTCCCCTTGCATCAGCCTCTTAAATAACTGGATTTATACATGCCACCATGCCTCACTGGATATTCAGTGGTGAAACATGGTGAAACAATGTAATGCCTTACCCTCCATTAGGTAAAATCTAATCGTTAGTTACTTGTTGTGGTGGTAGTTAAGCTGACATATTGTGGCTGATATATTATGGCAGTGGTTGTGAACCTGTGGCACCCCCTGGGCATGCAGACCCCTCTCTGTTGGCACGCATGCGGAGCTGCCCCAGCATTGCCCCAGCAGCTGAGTGTCAGATAGCAGCGCTCACAGGGCCAGTGTTGGCACTTTGTGATAAATAAGTGGGTTTTGGGCTGCAGTTTGGGCCCTTGATCTCTAAGAGGTTTACCATCACTAGTTTTAGGGCTTTCCAGTCCAGTAATATAGCATATTCTTCTTAGCAATTTGTAATTAATCGATTTTAGCTCTAAGAATAATCATTCCACTTTGAATGCAGTATAACTCTATGTCTAAAACATTGTTTTCCAGCAAAGTAGAGCTTGCTTTGACGTCTGACGGCAGGACAATCGTGTGCTACCACCCTTCTGTGGACATTCCATATGAACACACAAGAGTACGTATAAAAATTTTTAATTCGCTCTTAGAAATGTTCTTATTTCCTCACAGTATATAAAGGGAAAGGAATTACTTGCTTATTTCTCTCTCTCTCTCTCTCTCTCTTTTTTTTTTTTTGTCTTTTTGAGAGGGTCTCACTATGCAGTTCAGGCTATCCTTGAGTCACTTTGAAGCCCAGGCTTGTTTTAAACTCCCAAGAATCCTGGCTCAGCCTCACAAGTGTTGAGATTACAAGTGAGTGCCACCATGCTGATTCCTTTTTTTTTTTTTCTTGCTTTACTGTTATAATTCTTCTTTCTTTTCTTCTTTTTTTCTTTCTTTTTTCACTACAGACTTGATATGTGTAGTTCAGGCCAGCCTTGAACTCATTATGTAGCCAAGGCTAACCTTGAAGTCATGATTCTCTTTCCTTATTGAGTGCCATGCACCACCATACTTGACTTGCCTTCTTTCATTATTTGTTTTCTTCTTTTATAGAGTAAACTAAATGCTGGGCATGGTGGTGCATTCCTGTAATCCTAGCACTCTGGACACTGAGGCAGGAGGACCACTGAGAGTTCGGGGCCAACCTGGGCTACAAAGTGAGTTCAAAACCAGCCTGAATTGCACAGGGAAGCCCTATCTCAAAAAGACAAAAACAAAACAGAACCATTTAAACATAGCTATGCCATCATATTTCTGGTCTAAAACTTTTGGTAGGCTTCTGGTTAGATGCATCTAGTACAGTGATACCTTGGTTCATGGATTTAATTCTTTCTATGATGCTAAATGGACTTGGTTGCAAATCAAATCAAATTTCCCTATAAGGTCAGCAGTGAACCTAACCATTGAATTTAATTTGGTTTGTGACCAATTCAATTTGCGACCAGAATCTTGGGAAGAATTAAGTTTGTGAACTGAGGTATCACTGTTTCAAACTATAAAGTATATTATCCCATACTTCCTATATTATAATCTAATAAATTATGAAAAGCTTGTATTTTATTTTATTTACTTTTGTTTGTTGGTTTTTGTTTTTTTTGAGTAGAGTTTCACTGTATAGTTCAGGCTGGGTTTGAACTCACTACATAGCCCAGGCTGGCCTTGACCTTATGGTGCTCCTTCTGCCTCAGCTTCCCAAGCGTTGAGATAACAGGCGTGAACCTCCATACCCAGCTGAAAACACTTGTATTTCAGAATACTTTTAAAACTTTGTACTCTTGGTTCTGAGCGTCCTTTTATTTATTTATTTATTTATTTTTCTGATAATGCTTTAATAGTTGGTGAATTTTTAACTTTTTTTTTTCTAAAACAGGATCTCAGTGTGTCATTGTGTATGTTGACCTGGCCTTGAACTCACTGTGGAGCCTAGCCTGGCCTTGAACTTGTGGTGATCCTCTTGTTTAGCTTCCCAGGTGCTAGGATTAGACAGGTGCACTATTGTGTAATTTAGCTATAGCTAATGAGCCAAAACAGGTACATTTTAAACTGCCCAGTTTATTTTTCTTTCCTTTTTTTTCAGGCAGCAGCTAGAAGAGATTTTGTTTTTGTAACAGTTACTTTGGTTTGATCTTTGTCTTATTTTGTATTTAAGATGCCTTCTCTTGTTTCTCAAAGCCTTCGTCTACCATACTTGGTAATATCTGGTTTGCTTTATGAGAAGAAGACAAGTAGAGAACGATGCATGTAGTGGGACCGAGTTTTACAAATCGCTAGGGCCAGTGTGCTTGTTGATTTTGCTGGATTGCTGTCCTTTGGCTAGTTTTTATTCTATTTTCTTCTTTTTGGGGGTACTGGGGATTGAGCCCGGATCTCACACCTGCCAGGCAAGTGTCGACCACCGAGCTCTGTGTCCACTGTTTACTGTTTTCAGCACTTTGTCCTGCTGCTGTATATCCTACTCCCCCTCATAGGTGCTAATCCAAGGACCTCTTCTGTTTCATTTCTTTGGGTAAAGTCTCCGAAAACAGACCTGAGTCACTGCCTTTGCGCTGTAACCCTCCAGCTCATTCTGCATTGTGTCTCTGTTGTTCTCTTGCATATTTGGTTATGTGCTCCGTCCGCTGTTACAGTGGTTGTTCCAAGAAGCCCAAAGCTGTTAGCTTGTATTTTGAATTTCCAGGCTCTTTTCCCCGTTTGACTTTTCACATCTGCAAATCTGACTTTTCTATCCGTTCCAACTCTCAAATGTTTCCCACTTACAAAACAACAACAGCAACAAAACTTTCCCACTGCAATTTTAGAGCTTACTATCACAGACAAATTCTCTCATAACCTTAGCCTTTCCAGAGTGTTGCTTTCACTTCCAGCTCTGATAGAGATCGACTATGTACCTTGGGGACATTGCCTTCGGCAGTCTTTTTCAGTAATTGCTGTGTTCTCTCCCAGTTTCTTTTAACGTTGAATGTACTAGTTCATTAAGGTCATATTCAGGTGATTTCCCTACTGTCTAACAGTTTCCAGCTTTGGAACTTGTGTTATGAACCACATCATCCACTTTCTTTCTTTTTCTGTTGCTGTCATCTCCTAGTCATTTCTCTTCCACCCTTCCATTCTTCCTTGAAAGTTTTGGGCTCACTTCCTTAGCACACTCTCCAGCATTGTTGAATCTAAAATATCTTGCAAGAAAATCTTCCTCTGCCTATAATCCCAGCACTCTCGAGGCTGAGGCAGGAGGATCATTGCAAGTTCAAGACCAGCCTAGGCTACAAAGTGAGCTCAAGGCCAGCCTGAACTACATAAAGACTCTGTGTCAAAAAGACCAAAAAGAAAAAAAAAAAATCTTCCTTCTCCCACATGCATATTTTTTTTATTTATTTATTTATTTATTTATTTATTTGTCTTTTTCATTTTTATCGGTACCGGGTATCGAACTCACGACCGCCTGCTTACAAGGCAGGTACTTATGCCGCTGAGCTAAATCCCCAGCCCCTATATTTTATTAAAGTACTAAAATTCTAAAATGTTTTTCTAAAATTTAGGGTTTATCATTTAGGAAAATAAAGGATTTACACTAGGGAGAAAATAAATGCTTTAGAAAAATAAAGGGAAAATTGTATGTCTTTTAGTAGTTGATTTAGTGGGAAATTTCAAAAGTTAAGTTCTTGAATTCTTAAAGAGAAATTCAAGGTGACAGTTCTAATTCAAAGTTGATGTTCAGTTTTGTTTGTTTGTTTCATTGTACTGAAACATTTACCTACCCTTTCTTTGAAGTTTGATCAAGGAGTACTACAGAGAAAAAAGTTCTGAATCTGCCAGCGGCTTTTGGTCTGGACTTCAAAGAATCTATTAATTCCAGTGTCTTTTATCTTCGCACCTGGAAACATTTGAGAGAAAAAGAGTCTGTGCCAAATTAAGAGTCAAGCCCGCTTTGGCCTAGGGAGAGATGGTGGACATTTATCATGCTTGAAAGTGACTTTTTGATAGATTTTGTTTAGGCCCGCACATTGAGCTACATCCCCAGCTCTGTGGATTTTTTTTTTTCTTTAATCTTGATAGGGTCTTGCTAAATTGCCTGGGCAAGGTTTAAATTTGTTTGTCCTCCTGCCTCAGCCACCCAGAATGCTGGGATTATAGGCATGTGCCAGTATGCCTGCTTTTTTTTGATCAGTACCAGGGATCTAACTCACGCCCACATGCTTGCAAGGCAGGCACTTATGCAGCTGAGCTAAATTCCCAGCCCCAATATGCCTGCTTTTTATTGTTTTAGACATTTGATTTTTAGCAACTGGTTTAGCAAACCTAAATAACATTAGGGATAGATTCTCCAAAGATAGTTTGAGATAGCAGAGTATTGCAGTGAGAATGTGGTTGCCATAGTAAACTGCATGCTCAGAACGTGGAGCCAAGGGGACGTTTCTAAAGGCGGAACAACTGCAGGGATCAACAAGGGAGCAGGTGTTCACATGATGTGTGTCGCTTTTTGTGCAGGATTGCAGTCACTGGCAGGGTCTTGTGTTAGTTCAGGGTATCAGGCAAAATACTCATGAGACGCACTGTTTCAGAACCTCCCGGCTGTGTTTGTTACTACACTACTTCCTCTTCCTCCTCTTCCTCTTAGGACTCTTTGTTAGGGCTTGATGCAAGGGACTCCATTTTGATTCTGAACTTTCACAGCTCAAAGTCCATGTTTCCTTAGTGCCTGCCAGCATACAATAGCAGTGCACAAAGATACTATTACTTCACTTTATCAAGGGATGGTCTTTTAAGATAACTACTTTAAATTTCTGAGGAGCTCTTCTTTTTAAAAATAATTTATATCACTTTTCCTGTTTAGAGTTTTATAAGAAATGTTAATAGCTACCTACCGCTTACTAAACTGCCCTGGGACAGGAAAGCTTAGTACTGTCTACATCATTTTACTTAATCTTCAGACCCTTGTGAGGTAGATACTTCTCCAGTGATTTTATAGAAAGGGAGAAGTGTGACTTGCTCAAGACCACAGAACTGCTGAGTGGCAGAATCAGAATGAGTGTGTGTTCCTGACGTTTCATTGTCCTGCTTGGGCTGGGCAGAGACGTTGTGCACATGCAGAGTGTGCAGAAGGCCCTGAGCCTGATCCCCAGCACCACACACAGACACACATGCACGTACGTACCTTCTGCCTTATTCTCTCCTACCCTAGGAGGGAGTACTATACAACTAGGTCCTTCCTTACTGATGCAACTTGGAAGGCCTTTATCTTGTTGGGCTGGGGCTGTAGCTCAGTGGCATAGTGCCTGCCTGGCAAGTACAAGGTCCTGAGTTCAATTCCCAGAACTAAGAAAAAAAAAATCATCTTCTTGAGGTTTATTTTTAAAAATTACCTCTCATGTGATCTTGCCTACATTCCATTACTTTGTTTAGTTTTGTTTAATGTGGGTTCAGGGAATCAAACTGAAGAGCAGCATACCACTGAGGTACATCCTAGCCCTTTTTGGTTTTTATTTTGAGATCATCTCACTAAGTTGCCTAGGCCTGTCTCCAATTTATGATCCTCCTGCCTCAGCCCCCTGAGTAGTTGGATTACAGGTGTGTGATACCACTGACAACTCATCTTCCTGACCCCTAGTAGAATTGCTGTGTCTGTGATAGGACTCTTTGCACTTCTTACCCATCTCTGTTACTCTGCATTTCTGAAGTGCTTGTTTAATTGTGTCATCTCTTTTTGCATATGCATTGCCTTTTATTTGGGTTAGGGTCTTGGTATACAGTCAAATTTATGAATAGCCTAGGCTTATGTCTTTGTTATTTTTCTCATTAATGAGACAAAATACTCATCACCCAAAGGGAAAAGATTTGTTTCTCACAGCTTGTAGAGGTTTCAGTTCCTAATAGGTTGGCTGAAAGGCAGGGTGGCATGGCAGGCAGGCCTTGCAGAGGAGAAACACTTATGGTGGGCACAGAGTAGGGAGAAGAGAAGCTTCTTTCTGTCCCTTATATTGTATCCAGGATACTGAAACCAGTCGTCGGCTGATTTGGTCATCATCCACCCTCAGTCCTAGCATTGCACTGTGAGTTAGGCACACACTGTGGATTCAGCCGCCGCTGAAAAAGCCCCAGCTGTGACTGCATCTAGACACAGGTTATAACAGCGTACCTTGGACTCATAGCCACCCTTCTGCCTCTGACACCCAAGTGCTAGGCTGACAGCTGTGTGTGCCACACCCAGTTTATACATTGCCGTTTAAAGAAGTCATCATTTTTCATGAACAAATGGTGGATACATTATAATGTTTAATACAGTGGTCAGGTATTGCAGTTGTCAGCAAGACTGTATAGACATAAAGAAGCCTTCTATGTTTGAATGTTTCATATCTGGTTGTAAAGTTAGGTTTTCATTGTACTATACTATGTACAGTTATTTGTAAAACAAGGCAGTGCTACAGTTACATAATCATTGGTATGTTATTTTCATTATCATGACTGTAATATTGAATGTTATTATTAATACATTAATTTTATTTGAGACATACAGTCTTTCACTGTGTAGTTTATGCTAGCCTTAAACTCAATGTGTAACTTGGGCTGGCCTCGAACTTGCAGTGATCCTCCTGCCTCAGTTCCCCAAGTGCTGGGATTAAAGGTGTGTACCATCACATCTGGCACATATTATTTATATTTAAAATAAACCAGATGTGGTGATATGTGCTTGTAATTCCAGCATTTGGGAGGCTGAGGCAGGAGGATTGATGTGAGTTTGAGGACAGCTTTGGCTATATAGGTCAAAGCTAGCTTAAACAGCATAGCAAGACCCTGTTTCAAACAAAACAAATGAAACAAAACAAAAAGCCTGGTGTAGTGGCACACTCCTATAATTCTGGCACTTGGGAAACTGAGGCAGGAGGATCATTGCAAGTTCAAGACCAGTCTGAGTTACAAAGTGAGCCTAAGGCTAGCCTGAACTGCATAGCAAGATTCTGTCAAAAAAGTAAGTAACTTGACCCTTCAAGGTAATGATTCTTAGAGGCTGTATGAGCCACTGTTGTATCACATATTTGGAGAGGTGAAGTTTTTTACCAATTAATGTCTTTGGGGGGAAAATTACTCAAATTTACCATAAAGCATTATTCCATAGCATTTCGGTCACCCAGAGTGAAAACAGAAAGCTTTTTTTGTTTCTATAGAATATAAGAAATGTTATGTTCTTTAGCACTTTTTTGTTTGTTCATGTGTTTGTTTATATTGTGGGGCTCACTCCCAGACCTATGTATGTGCTAGATAAGACTGCCACACTGAACCAGTGCAAGGGTTTTCTTTTTTGGTCTTTTTCCTTTTTATCGGTACCGGGGATCGAACTCACGACTGCCTGCTTGCAAGGCAGGTGCTTATGCCACTGAGCTAAATCCCCAGCCCCTGGTGCAAGGGTTTTCATCGCATCTTACCTTGATGGTGCAGGTAGATTGTCAACTTTTATGTCAAATGATAATAATGGGCCTAATTTAGACTTTTTGAGATAGAAACTGAAGTAACGACTACTTTATTATTGGGGAGAAATAATAGTAAGAATTTTACTGCAAAAGAAATAAAAAATTTGTTATGAGAAGAAAAGCGTTTCTAACTCTATTGAATCATACAGCTGCAAGCACTGCTGTGATAACTCACCTCCCCCGCAGGACCCGGAGAATACTGAGTGTGGTGCTCGTTTTATTGTCCACTCAGTCACGTGCTGGCTGACATCTGTGTATTCTGATGTTGTTTGTTGCTGATTATTTTGTAGCCTATCCCTCAGCCAGATCCTGTCCAAAATATTGAAGAAACACATGATCAAGTGCTGAAAACCAGATTAGAAGAAAACGAATGCCTTGAGCAAGGACCCATGATAGAACAGCTTAGCAAAATGTTCTTTACAACGAAGCATCGTTGGTATCCTCGTGGACAGTAAGTCTCATTTTCTGTCTTCAGTTCTGTCTTGGTTATTTTTCTCTCATTGTTGAGACAAAAATACTTGACGCCCAAAATTAGGGAAGAGAAAGTTTATTTAGCTTAGTTTTTTGAGGTTTGAGTCCATACTCAGTTGGCTCCAAGGCAAAGTGGTGTGGCTGAGGGGTAACTGTTCATGGCAGCCACAAACAGCAAGAGCAAAAAAGGCAAATAAGGACAAAACACGCCTCCTTCCCTCCCTTATACCGTGTGTCAGCTCTGCCCTGGGTGGGTGCACCATTCTCACCGCTAATTTCAGCACTAGACAGCGAACCAATCACAAACGCTAGATTCAGCTGCCTCCAGGACTGTATGAGGCTTGGGGTCCACCTAGACACAAACTGTAACAAGTGTCCACTACACACGCTGAAGGAAACTTTTCTTGTATTAGCAACATCTAAAATGGTATTGCCTGGGGAAATGAAGCTGTACATGATCACATACTATATTATACTTTTTTCCTTGTTTTTCTTTATACTTTTAAATCCGTGTATACTGTAGTTAAAATGAAACAGTTTATTTTTCCTTTATTTTGTTTATTATTATTATTATTGATTTTTGAGATAGGGTCTCACTGTGTAGTTCAGGTTGGCCTTGAACTCACTAGGTAGCACAGGTTGGCCTCGAACTTGTGGTGATCCTCCTGTGGCAGCCTTCCAAGTGCTGGGAGTACAGGTGTATGCCACCATACCTGGTCTATTTCCTTTGTTTTAATGAGAGAATTTAACAAACACTTTCAATGAATTTTTATTTTTTTAAAATTTATTTATTTATTTGTCTTTTTGAGACAGGGTCTCATCATTCATTTCAGCTTACTTTGTAGCCCAGGCTGGTCTTTAACTTGCAATGATTCCTGCCTCAGCCTCCTGAGTGCTGGGATTACCAGCATATGCCACCACGCCAGGCTGAATTTTTTATTTTTATTTTGTTTTTTGAGATAGGGTTTTGCTGTGCAGTTCAGGCTGGCTTTGAACTCACTTTGTAACCCAATCTGCCCTCAAACGTGCAGCAATCCTCCTGCCTCATCCTCCTGAGTACTGGGATATCCTGAGGCAGGCTCTCACCATGTAGTACAGGCTGGCCTTGAACTCAGTAGGAATTTGTGATGATCCTCCTGTCTTAGCCTCCCAAATTCTGAGTTTACAGGCATGCACCACCATGCTTGGCCTATTTCCTCTGTCAACAAATTTAGAATACAATCTTCCTTTTTTTTTTGGTACTGGGAATTGAACTCACAACCTCACGCTTGCCAAGAAGGTGGCTTGTGCCACTGAACTATATCCCTGGCTAATCTAGTTCCTTTATTTTAATGAGAAAATTTAACTAATGCTTTCAATGAATTTTGCAAGAGCTTTTAAAAATTCCTTTATAGTTTGTCATTTAGTGTGTTGTTTTTGTTCCTCCTGATGAATAATGGATTCTGTCCTCAACAATTTATCCATTAATGCAAAAAAAAATTGGGGTTCACATTCGGCTTGGTGGCACACACTAGTAATCCACACACTTGGGAGGCTGAAGCAGGAGGATTGCTAAGAGTTCAAGGCTAGCTTGGGTTACATAGTGAGATCCTGTCTCAAAAAAAAAAAAAAAAAGATTTCCACCCAAAAATTGGGGCTCAACAAATAACTGGACAATATATATTATTCTTTGTTCCTATAGAAACTACAAGTATAAGAGACATTATGGTAGCTACTGTTGATTTTCTGTGGTCTTGTTCTGAAATCCTGTGTTATTTGCATTGCTTTGCTCTAATCTACTTTGTTCTGTTTTGTTTTGTTTTATTCTCTTTAAAGTAAAACAAACAAACAAACTAAAATTAATCTCCTGTTTGTAAGTGCTCACATTGTATTACATAAAAGTTTTTTGTTTTTATGGGTTTTTTTTTTCCCGCCTGGTATTCAAAATAAAACTCAGGGTACTACTGAGATATGTCCCCCCCCCCCGTTATGTATTTATTTAGGTACTCTGTCAGAATTAATTTTTGTGTTTTGATTTTCTTTTTTAATGGTGCTAAGGATTGAACTGAAAACCTTACACTGGTAGGCAAGTGGTCTCCACCGAGCTGTACTCCCGACTCAGAATCATCTTTCTTTTACATCTATCTTCTTCCAAATCAAACTGTCAGCCACTTTTTTGTTGTTTGAGCAAACTTTGCTCTTCCTCACTTGTGTAACTGCATAGTTGTTACTGGGCTGGCACATTTGTGCAGGATACTTTCATGGAAGTAATGAATGTATTTTCATTAAACTGCTCTGCTAAGTGCTGATGATCAAAAACACAATCGCTGTCATGGAGTGCAGGTAGTAGAGTAATTGATTAAGCTTAGCTGGGTGTGCTGGCACATGCCAATAATTCTAGCATTTGGGAGGCTGAAGCAGGAGGATTGCCATGAGTTCAAGGCCAACCTGGGCTGTATGATGAGTTCAAGGCCAGCAGGATCTACATAGGGAGACTCTCTCTCAAAAAAAAGGAAAGAAAGAAAACTCAAGTGTGACTGACTGACACTTGAACAAAGATGAAGAGATACTGACCGGGAATGAGGAAGAGCTCTGCAGGCAAAAGGGACAGCACGTGAGATGAAGGAGAACTGCGTGGAATTCAGATAGATGGAGCCCAGGATATGAGTGGGATGTAGGAAGGGTACTGTGAAGCCTTCTGTGCTGAGGAGTTTCTAGAAGTGAACTGATGTTTGTGCATTAGAAGATCGTTAAGAAGGCTGTATATTTGGGACAAGGCAAGATAGGGAAAAATTGGGATTAAAGAACTCTGTTAGGAAACTTATAAAACTTATAAAAGTGCGCTAAAAATGTTGAAGAGCTAAAATGAATCTTCACTGGGAATAAAAAGGAGGAAAATAAAAAGAGGGTTGGTGTTTAGGAATCTAATTAACTATTGGTAGGAATGCAATAGGGAGAGAGAAGGAAGAGGTGAGCCTCTCATTGCTGCCTGGATTTTTGGGAGGAAGGTGGTGTCGTTCATGTGGATGGGAACATGTTTTGAAGGGTCTGCGGTTTTGAAGGACCAGCTGGTAGAGGACAGTTCTGAAAGCAGTGGACCTGTGGGTCCTGGAGCTCGATTTACTTTCCTAGTTTCTCTTGAGAAGGTGTTTTCTCTTATTCTTGGCTGTGGTGGCAGTTCTTCAGGGCACTGCCTTGTTAGGATCTGGGACAGGAAGAATATTTGACCTATTGCAGAACAGCAAATCGTGGGAACAACAGAAAACTGTATTGTCTTAAGCTAAGGTCAAGTCACTCTGCATCAGCTCCCTGAGCTTTGCACACTTCTCATGGGGCCCTGCCAAATGCACGAGAGGCAGTGACCTTGTCCTACATACCGGAGACATAAAGAGATTTGCTCCCAATGTCTGGCCCTTTTCTGTTTTGTAGTTGAAGCTTTCAATGATGTTGTCTTAAGGCAAGGGCAAAGTTTGTCTTTGGGAGATTCTGCAAAAGACTAATTAACAGTTATTAATTCAACAGTAACTATAATGGTGCTCAATATTATGATTCCATGATATGCCAGATTAAAAGAATTAAATCCATCTAGCAGTCCAAGTATGGATTTAGCTACTTAATCTGTAGTAAGAACACTGACTTGGTCGTGTTTAAGTGTGCCACCACTTTTCCTCATTTCCACCGAGTTTTAATGGTGTGGCAGAGCAGTCACTCATATGTGGCTAAATTTAGCAAGGCATTGTAGACCTTAACAATATCAAAAGGCTTTGACTTTATTACCTATATCTAAAATGGTTGCCTCAAGGGCGTTGACTTGTATTTCTAGTTTTAAATCTATCTTTTTGGCTCTCTAAAGCATATGCTGTGGTTTTTGCCAGATGATTGATTAAATGTGCAGTTTGGGGTCTGCAGCAACCCACTTGGGACCCCTACTGTCTCTCCTTCTCTCAGACAGAAGCTTTCTTTCTCTCAATAAATATATTCTGCTCTTAAAAAAATTAAAGTGCAGTTTGTGCACTCTAAGCGAGGGCTACAGTTGACACCACAGTAGCGGCAAGAAGGATGAAGAAAGAGTTCCCAAATTATGAGCCCACCATTCTCTTGGGGCAGGTCTATTGCTTGTCAGTTTCTTTGAGGACTTGTAGATCTCAGTCATTGTACCATGGTGCAGAGATATCAATAGAAATCATAACAAATGATGGGAAGTACGGTATTAAAATATCTTTATCCTTATTTAAGGTAGTAATGCAGGAAGTAAAATTATAATTGTTGCAACTAACGTAATAATCATCTTTATGATATTGATGGTTCCCACCAAAGGAACATAAGGATATAGTTGTAGGCTCTGAACCAATATTTTCTAGTACCTACATGGTTAATGCTTTGAGGCTCTCACTAGACAGAGTAATGGGAGAGAAACTAGCAGCCAAATGCCATAAATCCTTTTGGAGATATTTTTGAGAAACATGAAGTGCAGACTACAGGATAGTGCCCTGTAACATTATACATAGTGAGGACCAATCCATAACAATCACATTATAATGGTAGTCTTGTTAACTTGATGAGTACCGCATTCTACCCAGGGCACAAGTTTACCTAGTGGCACATATCAAATGGTGGTGTGGCGCAAGGTAAGTGGACATAAATAATTGGTGGCTGTTAGAGACCCACTAGAATTGTTTAAGAGGAGTAATTCATCATGGTCTGTTCCTGATGAATTATGAATAATGGCAGTTTTTTTCTATAACTAGAGTAGATAAGCATAGGGAAGATGATCTGACAAAGAGGAAGGGCAGCTGCTCGATCAGTGTAATTAAATGATGAATAGTTTTGAAGAATATGAGCATCAGAGCAGCCACCCAGAGGCTGGGGTTGATTAGTAAAACGAGGTATGGAAGCAGGAGCCTCCCAAGGAAACAGATGAGCTAAGGACAGATCAGGAAAGAATGTCCAATAGGGTATAACATGGGAATTTCCTACCTGCAGAGAGACCAGGGTAAGCAT